TTTTAAAAAAAGCTTTAATCCCCCAGCCTCCCTCCCTTTGGGAGTGCTGAGGGGATTCCCTGGGGTCCAGTGGGGCTGCCCAGTGGCCGGTCTTGCAGGCGGCGAGGGAGCATTCTCCCCTGAGCGCTCTCTGCCCATCTCCCTCACGCGTCGCTTACTGATGCATGAGCTGGAATGACATCATATTCCAGCTCTGGCATCAGTGCGGTGTGCGCAAAGGAGCTGGGCAGAGAGCTCTCAGGGGAGAATGCTCCCTTGTGCGCCCGCAATGTAACGCCACTGCCAACCTCGGGGGCCCTAAGATGGCCAGCTCCTGGGCCCCCCAGGAGAAGAGGCTGGCAGACTGGCGTACATACCCAGTCGCAGGGCGGCCGGGCCCCCTGGTGGGCCGGGCCCGGTTGTAGCTGTGACCCCGGTATGTACGCCAGTGATTACGTGGCACAAGGACTTATGGGGCTGGCATACATTTCTTTTTCCAGGGCTGCTTCAAATTCCCAGTCTGGCCCTGTCCATCACAGTGATCCTGGCTGTGTGGGATAGTTATGAGTATCTCCTTATTCTGCCCAACTCTGTGTGTCATGCCACTGTATTTTACTCAGCTCTACCTGTAGTCTACCCGGCTCAGTGTATTTTATAGGTATATTTGGATTGTGCCCAACTTTGTATATTATATCTCTATTATAGCTCTATTCTTTGATTTGCCCTGCTTTTGGACGCATTCTCATCAGTGTCATCTGCATGCTGGCTTTGTTGCCGGTGTGCCAGCATCACACTAGCTAGGTGTTGCTAGAAACTTGGGAGAGCAGAAGGACCTCCTGTGGATCTTTTCTCTTCTAACTTGTCAGTCAATGACCCAACATTCAAACTGCTAAGCACAAGGTATAGATGAAACTGTATGCTTTTTCAAAAGAGCGTTAAAACAAAATCAAAAACATATTCTTTATAACTCAAAGCATCATATTGAAAAGAAGGTAGAACAAATGTTTCTACATTTTATAATATTATCAAATAATGCAAATATTCAATATAAATAGTAAATGTCTACAATTTTTAAATGGCACAAGGGTCTAAATTGGAGTTAATTATTTCCATTGTTTAATACATAGTATAGATAATACCTTACTAAACTGCAAAAAAACTGATCCAAAACAATAAAAAAGATATATAGTCACTTTTAAAGAACCTTACTTTTGAAATTCCCTGTACATTACATAATCAGTGCTTTACAATTCAGGAACTGGCTTTAAAAGCAGAATTCTGTAAAAAAAAAAATTTAATTTTTTAGAAAAAAGTGTACAATGGCACCCTTTAAAATTCAAAGTGATACAAACAAAATCTAGATTAAAACTCCACACTTATCTCTTCTTGCTGCATCTGTACTGGGGTTTTTCCCATTGATAAGTAAATTTCCTTGCCTGTGGTCCACACAGTTATTTTTATTCAGCAGAGTGAATTTAGAAACACCACTCCCGCCCACCTTTCTCTTTATGAGCTGAAGAGGCTTAGAAAATGAGATGTATTTTAGTAACCAGGGATAAGGCATGAGGTAGCAAGCAGCATGTAGATATGGACACAGCAGCATTCAATGCTCTACATATTCCAAATTCCATGCAAGGCAACGTTACTTACTGTATGTGCACATTATAGTCACTTATAGACAAAGTTGACAGTTCATGGGAGTTGCATTACTAATGGCAACTAAGTAATTAAAAATACTATGTCTAAAAGGACACTGCAAGGCTCAAATAAAAATTAAATAAATAAAATTCACTGTTTAATAGACATGCCAGTGAAAACATACATGCATTTACTTTTTTTTTTTTTTTTTGATTGGGGTATAACTAAAAACAGAATGGAAAAGTTGCAGCTCTCTTGTCTGCAGCCTTTGCAAGCCCTACCCTTTCCTCCCAGCCCAGACGGTTCATGGCTGTCTTTGCAAGGGAGTTTTTTTGAGAAATTGCTGCCTCTTGAGTTTAGATTCACTGAGCTAAACAACCAGGAAGTAACGGAACTGGTTGTCTTATTGACAGTCAATGGGGAGGGGAGTGAAACAAGGTTAATTTATAAAGTGCCAATTTGCATTGAAATCTGTACTTTATGTAAAATGAAAAAAAAAAGACACACTCCACATATAGAACACAATAAGCTTTGGGGATCTGGATTATCCATTTAAAGCGGCACTGTCATGCCGAATTCTGTTTTTTTTTTAACCCCCCTCCCGCCTCCACTACATCCAATTGACCCACTAGTCACCCCCAAATGCCCCTAAGCCCCCCACATTACCTATTTTTAAATCTTTATTTTCTGCCCCGATCTATATTCAGGGCGCCGCCATCTTTGTGTGGGTAGGTGAAGTCCCTGTGGGACACGTCATCAGCCCACACTAGGCAGACTGTGAGATTCCCGCACATGCCCAGTGAAACACCTGGACATGCGAACGGGAATTTCATCTATTCATTCATTCATCAGACAGACGAATGAGTGAATAGAAAGATCAGCCGAACAAACAAACACAATGTATCAGTGTTAGTTTGTTCGTGCAGGTTATTACAAGGAGGGAGCTACCGGCGTGCAGCTCCCTCCTTGTAATATGTAACTATAGAAGCGGCAGGGAGCAGTGCTCCCCACCACTTCATAAGCCCCCCAGTACCCCCTCTCACTCTATGGGGGTCAATATGACCCCATAATAGCACAAGGGAGATAAAAATCTCCAAAATGCCCCTACTCGCTATACCGCGAGTAGGGGCATGTCCACTAAACAGTGAGCAGCCTGTGGCTGCTCACTGTAAAAAACAAAAACAAACAAACAACTATTGGCCCCCACCCCTAAACAGTGAGAATGAGGGGGGGGCAGTACTCCCCCCCCCGGCCCCCACCCCTGGGCGGCGGGTGGGGGCCATAATGAGAATGGGGGGGGACCTACTGCCCCCCCCGCCCCCACCCCTGGGCGGCGGGTGGGGGCAAAAATGAGGGGGGGGAGACCTACTGCCCCCCCCGGCCCCCAACCCTGGGCGGCGGGTGGGGGCCATGAAGATAATGAGGGGGGGGGACCTACTGTCCTCTCCCCCCCTGCCCCCACCCCTGGGCGGCGGGTGGGGGCCATAGTGAGAATGAGGAGGGGGGCAGTACTCCCCACCCCGGCCCCCACCCCTGGGCGGCGGGTGGGGGCCATAATGAGAATGGGGGGGGGACCTACTGCCCTCCCACCCCCACCCCTGGGCGGCGGGTGGGGCCATAATGAGAATGGGGGGACCTACTGTCCTCCCCCCCCGGCCCCCACCCCTGGGCGGCGGGTGGGGGCCATAATGAGAATGGGTGGGACCTACTGCCCCCCCCACCCCCACCCCTGGGCGGCGGGTGGGGGCCATAATGAGAATGGGGGGGACCTACTGCCCCCCCCGGCCCCCACCCCTGGGCGGCGGGTGGGGGCCCTAAGTCAATTACCCCCCCCCCAAGGTGACTAGGGGTCTCCAAGCCCCTAGTCACCCACCCCCCACCCCAAAAAAAAAGTCCCTACCTACCCCCCTCACCCTAAAAAATAGTGAGGGGGGATAAAATAACTAACCTGTAAAATAAAATTAAACGTACCATTCGACGTCTTCTTTTTTCTCAAATCTTCTTTTTTCAGCCCCAAAAAAGGCCAAATAAAAAACCATCATAACCGTCGAATTGAAAATAAAATAAAAATCCCGAGCGCAAAAAAAAAACCCGACGAAAAATAAAAAACCCGAGCGCAAAAAAATAATCCATCTTCACCCATGGAGGGCTCCGCGCAGACTGAGCTCTGCAGGGCGGGGGAAGGCTTATAAAACCTTGCCACGCCCTGCAATTAGGCTAAGAACACTCTGATTGGTGGGTTTAAGCCAATCAGAGTGTTCTTTGTCATTTTACACAGCGTGGGAAAATTCAAAAGAACTTTCCCACGCTGTGTAAAATGACACAGAGCACTGTGATTGGATGGATTTCAAACCATCCAATCACAGTGCTCTGTGTCATTTTACACAGCGTGGGAAAATTCCAAAAGAACTTTCCCACGCTGTGTAAAATGACACAGAGCACTGTGATTGGATGGATTTCAAGCCATCCAATCACGGTGCTCTGTGTCATTTTACACAGCGTGGGAAAATTCAAAAGAACTTTCCCACGCTGTGTAAAATGACACAGAGCACTGTGATTGGATGGATTTCAAGCCATCCAATCACGGTGCTCTGTGTCATTTTACACAGCGTGGGAAAATCTAAAAGAACTTTCCCACGCTGTGTAAAATGACACAGAGCACTGTGATTGGATGGATTTCAAGCCATCCAATCGCAGTGCTCTGTGTCATTTTACACAGCGTGGGAAAATCCAAAAGAACTTCCCCACGCTGTGTAAAATGACACAGAGCACTGTGATTGGATGGATTTCAAGCCATCCAATCACGGTGCTCTGTGTCATTTTACACAGCGTGGGAAAATCCAAAAGAACTTTCCCACGCTGTGTAAAATGACACAGAGCACTGTGATTGACGATTTCAAGCCATCCAATCATTAAAGCCTGTAAGTCGATACCAGCGTGGGAAAGTTTTCTTGAATTTTCCCACGCTGTGTAAAATGACAAAGAGCACTCTGATTGGCTTAAACCCACCAATCAGAGTGTTCTTAGCCTAATTGCAGGGCGGGGCAAGGTTTTATAAGCCTTCCCCCGCCCTGCGGAGCTCAGTCTGCGCAGAGCCCTCCGTGGGTGAAGATGGATTATTTTTT